TACAATGTCCAGTTTCAATGTTGCTCTTAAAGACCTGGCAATCTAGAGGACAGTGTCCCTCAGCCTTGTATGTTTCTTCCTTCTGTTTCAGCCCTGCAGGTTTTCCTTGGAAGATATTGAACCACAATCTGACTTAGCCACCCAGGGCAGTTAAGATTGTGGGACACAGGGGTCCTTTTCTCTGTCTCTATATCCCCTACTTCCTGGTCCCACTCTGCTCCAAATCTACACATAACTAAAACAGGGTTGCCTGTCCCTAGTGGAACCATATAGATGATCTACCTACATTTTATAGATGAGATCATGAGGGCCAAGGAGATTAAGTGACTTGCCCAAGGTCACACCAGTGAGAATGAGAGTTCACTTCTTATGTTGTGTAAGTGTAATGATCAGGAAAGTTGACTGAGCTCAAATGTGAAAGGCCTTGCATGTGTGTTAACAATTCTGGTTTATTATTAGTAATAATAAATGACCTTTCTGTTCTGACTGCATGGCAGCACAGGGATGAGGGGTATAAACTGGGAGCAGAGGATAGGTTCATTCCAGTCTCTTGTCTTCCTGCTCTAAGACCTGCAGTTGGCAGTGGAGGTTCCTTTCGTCTTTGAACCTGTACACACAACAGTGGGACCAGAGCTGGGAGTAGCCAGAACTTAGAGCATACCTGGGCTTTCTCTGCCTGGAGTACCCCCTTCTCAGTGCCAGTCTACTTCCTCTTCCTCTCATCCACCGGAGCACTCTGCACTGTCATGGTGACTTAGGAGGCAGAGAAGTGTCCTTGTTTTATCTCCTGCCTCCTGGACTGGCTTGGGCACAGACACAAACAGTCCTTCATGTGTTCTTGGCATTTAGTCACTATCTACTTTGTACAGTGATGTGAATCCAGGACTAGTTATCACCATTCAACCTCTCAACCCCCTTTAAAGCTCCCATTTTATGGATGAGGCTGTTAAGATCCAGAGATGTGAAGTCATTTGCACAGGTCATGCAACAAAGCTGCTCCTGGAACCCAAGCTGGCTTGATTCCAAATCCAGGGCTCTCTTGTCCTTATCGCATTGGCTATTTCAACAAATACCTGAGCTCTAGCCCTATTTCTCCTTAGATCTCCAGACCCTGAGGTCTATTAGTCTCAGAAATATGAGCTGTAAATTCACCTCTCTATGAATTCACTGTCTCCTCTGTAAGTTGCTACAGCCTCCTCCTGGAGTCGGTCTTTCTACCTTAGGTTCTCAACTGTCAGCCAACCTAGTTTCTCTACAAATAAGGACTCAGCTCCTACAGAGTGATCACCTATCCAGCACACATTTACATCATCCAATACGTGCCTTGAATTAAACTACCTAAGATAATTCTGAAGTGCAGCTCAGTAAAGGAGATAGAGCAGGATAACAGGAGAATCTCTCCATGCCATTCTTCTTGGCACCTTCTCCAGATCTTTAGTGGTTTTCACTATCTCTGACTCTTAGTCTCTTATGTTGTTGTTGTTGAGTGTTGTTGAATCAATTCCAACCCATAGCGGCCCTGTATAGGGTTTCCAAGGAGCAGCTGGTGAGTTTGAACCATCGACCTTGCAGTTCAAATGGCTTTGCAGTCTGACGCATTAGCCCACAGAGCCACACCAGAAGTCCTAGTCTCTTATATCCACCTTTATATCAAAATCTGAATGAAGACACCAAATTCCTATACATTTTGTCTCCAAAGTATCATTTGGAACCGTATACCTTATTATTAAG